CATACATTTTATATATATATATATTTTTTTCATACTGGCCCCCCATGGGAATCGAGCCCACAACCCTGGCGTTGCAAACGCCATGCTCTACAAACATCCCTGCCGGCCATTCCCTCCCCTACCCTGGACGACGCTGTGCCAATTGTGCGCCGCCCCATGGGTCTCCCGGTCGCGGCCGGCTACGACAGAGCCTAGATTCGAACCAGGATCTCTAGTGGCACAGCTAGCACTGCGATGCAGTGCCTTAGACCACTGCGCCACTCGGGAGTTATGTGTAGAGACAAAACTATTTGGGATAAAACTAATGACATATTTTATCTCATAAAACACACTGGCAGATGCTTAAAAAATAAATCATTTTAAATATGCAGAAAGCATTTATATTTTGTATATAACTGTAATTATCAACCGTTTATGTTTTTTCTCACTCCAAATCGTGCAAATTTACAGAGATTTATGTGTTAATAAAAACCAATGGAATAAAACTATTGGCAACATTATTTCCTGTGATGTTTTTTTCTTTTTTTCTCAGGCTTGTGGTGATGATCAGTAATGTTAGAATCAGCTGAGAGAGAGAGAGAGAGAGAGAGAGAGAGAGAGAGAGAGAAATTGTTAGGCTCAAACATTCACTATTCTAATCAAAAGTTTTTGTCATTAACTATTGCTAGATTCTAAGAAATTATGCGTGTCCCAACTCTTTCAGATACTTTGGAATGTTGACTTGACTTTTCAAGTATTTCACATGACATTTCATTATATAAATGTATGGTATTTTTTTGATCTATTTACAGTTGAATGTTAACTGTTAAATAAAGAACTTCCCAGCTGTTACCAGACAACTATTAAAGCCGATATGTGCCTGTGGCACAAGCCACGTGTTTCAGGGTAGAAACTATCTCCACTATCTCTGAATCATCATGCAAATGATCTACAAGAAGTCACCCTGCAGCAGAGAATTGAGGAGGCCATATAGGCTTATCTAGAAGCCATTTACCTGAAGAGGAAACTAGTGGCACCCTGACCAGAACACAGAAGACCTGTCATAAACATAGTGTGATTGGTATCTCTGAAGCTGATCATGTGCATTTTTTTAGTCATTTAGCAGACGCTCTTATCCAGAGCGACTCACAGGAGCAATTAGGGTTAAGTGCCTTGCTCAAGGGCACATCGACAGATTTTTCACCTAGTCGGCTCTGGGATTAGAACCAGCGACCTTTCGGTTACTGTCACAACGCTCTTACCCACTAAGCTACCTGCCGTGCATGGAGAGTAAACTTGCATAAACTCAGTTTTAATATTTGTGAATAGGTGTCAGGGACATATGTAATTGTAATAGAAGTGTTTGAAAGAATACATGAAAAGGACAAAGCAATACCCACATTTTTTATTACAAATATATCCACAGGTTTAAAAAATTATACTAAATGTAATTCAATACAAAATGCATAACTGAGTTGATAAAAAAAAAAAAAAAAGCTTGATACAAGTTGTGCCTATATCAACTCAGAGTTTAAAAAGTATATTTGCTTTCTTTGTCCAAGAAAATACAATTTCTTTATCCCAAAAAAATATATAAAAAGCTGGTGGCATCAGGCAGCTGCAGGCTTGCAGCACCAGTTAAACGCTACAGAATCAGATAATTCTGACGTTGGTTGAGTTGTGCATGACTACCTACACCTACTAAATACTGACATGATGAGCTTTCAGTTCATAGTGATAGAGGAAGGCCAAGGGCTCGATTCATTCCGTATCGCTATAACGCGCCTGCAATTTAAAGGTAATTTCCGATTGAGCCGACATATGCAGCGTCAACCGTGAATGTAGTCTACACGAAAGCAGGAACATTGCCTTTAAATTTAAATCGCGCTATATTGGCGATATGGATTACATCGAGCCCTAAGCGGCCACGCATAGAGTTATCCAATACGTTGAATAAAAATTCACTTTCTGCATACAAATTCAAAAGGATTTAATTTAAATTCAATTTCTTTTGGCACTAGTATGGCTCCAGACAGGTAGTCAGTCCACTGAGGATTTTGGTTTGGTCACACCTCAGCTCTCTGTAAAGTCTTATTCCACACACCAGAGCTTTGTCAGATTCACAGATGACTCACGTGGGTGAATATATCTGAGGTAGTTTCACATTGACAGATAAGAGGAAGTATGAAGATGATACATGTTCTAGAATCTGTCCTGGGTCTTGATTGACCCTGTCACCGTGGATACACCCATAGAAATAGAGTTACTGATAGCTCTCGGACAACATCAATTTGAACAGGCATGTCCAGTTATTTGAACAGGCTAGTTATTCTAATACTATGGCAACACCGGCATTGAAATGTGTGACACGTTGCTTCCATTAGGGTGTCGTATACAGTGCCTTCAGAAAGTATTCATACCCCTTTACTTATTCCACATTTTGTTGTGTTATAGCCTTCATTTTTGTCTCATCCATTTACACACAATACCCCATAATGACAAAGTGAAAACATGTTTTTAGAAATGTTTGCAAATCAATTGAAAATTAAATACAGAAATATAAAATGTACATAAGTATTCAGACCCGTGAGTCAATACTTTGTACAAGCACCTTTGGCAGAGATTACAGCTGTGAGTCTTTCTGGGTAAGTCTCTAAGAGCTTTCCACACCTTTCCACACATTATTTTCACAATTCTTTAAGCTCTGTCAAATTGGTTGTTGATCATTGCTAGACAACTATTTCCAGGTCTCGCCATAGATTGTCAAGCAGATTTAAGTCAAAACTGTAACTAGGCCTCTCGGGAACATTCACTGTCTTATTGGTAAGCAACTCCAGTGTAGATTTGGCCTTGTCTTTTAGGTTATTGTCCTGTTGAAAGGTGAATTCATCTCCCAGTGTGGTGGAAAGCAGACTGAACCAGGTTTTCCTCTAGGATTTTGCCTGTGCTTAGCTCCATTCCATTTCTTTCTTATCTGAAAAACTCCCCAGTCCTTACCGATTACAAGCATACCCATAACATGATGCAGCCACCACTATGCTTGACAATATGGAGAGTGGTATTAAGTAATGTGTTGTATTGGATTTGCCCCAAACAAAACACTTTGTATTCAGGACAATTGTTTTTGCAGTATTACTTTAGTGCCTCACATAGAGTGAGTCCATGAAACTTATTATGTGACTTGTTAAGCACATTCTTTACTCCGGAACTTATTTAGGGTTGCCATAGCATTAGGGTTGCCATAGCATTAGGGTTGCCATAGCAAAGGGGTTGAATACTTATTGACTCAAGATATTTCAGCTTTTCACTTTTTATTAATTTGTAAAAAATTTGAAAAACGTAATTCCACTTTAACATTATGGGATATTGTGTGTAAGCCAGTGACAAAAAAAATCTCAATTGTATACATTTTTTTATTCAGGCTGTAACACAATAACATTTTGAAAAAGTAAAGGGGTGTGAATACTTCCTGAATGCATGGTAGTACAGTACTGTACTTACAGTATATTACATAGAGACAAATATTACATAAAAAAAAATATGTAAAACATTGTGAGGCAGTGTAAGTTTCATTTTCTCCTTCATACTCTCGTTTTTCCCATGTGTGTAAAAATACTGTAAAGTACAGAGAGATCATTCACGTACAAGGTTTAAGATGGCTAGCGGCTATCCCACATTTAAAGGCACAGTCCATTTATTGATGTCTTGTATAAAAGCCAGCAAGCATTTGTAGAGTGGCTGGCTTCCCTGTTGATCTTTTAAATCAGGGGTGTCAAACTCAATTTCTGGAAATGTGTTTACATTTTATTTTATTAAAAAAAAAAAATTTGTGCCCAATTTAGACCTAAACAACCAGGTGAGGGGAGTTCTTAACTAATCAATGTGTTCGATCCCCGGGACCACCCCATACGTAAAAATGTATGCACACATGACTGTAAGTCGCTTTGGATAAAAGCGTCTGCTAAATGGCATATTATTAATATTATATTATTACATAACTTTACTATATCAATCAAGTACAAGGGAGGAGTGAAAATCCACAGACACTCGGCCCTCCACGAATTGAGTTCGACACCAGTTTTAGATACTGTATTAGCAATTCATTAGTCACTATGGAAACCCCATGGAAGATCTGTATTTGTATGGATATATATTAGTGTCAATATTGCTCATTTTATAATTTTGGCACTAATCTATCGCCATACTAATGCCCATAATTAATGCACAGCTTGACCACAGTCCTTATGGATACATACTGAAGCAAATTTGTGGCTTTGGCACAAAATAATACATATTTAATCCTTTATTTTAATTGAAATAATAGTTATTACTTATTGCTTATTAATTTTTTAACAAACAACAGAGACCTCTTCGTCTTTGGAGAATATGATGTAACAAATATAAAACCTTCAAAAGTGAATACTTATATTGGCAAATAAAGAATAATTTATTATACTGATAAGGCAACTGGAAACAAATTGAACAACACTGCTTGCTACAGAACAACATGAAAAACATCACCTTGAGGTTCATACCCATTCAGCCATACCCAGTCACAAGCAGGTAGCGGTCAACTGGTAGCTGTTGTGACAGATGTGTAGGGGTCAATATTGTGGCTTCTCACATACTGACCAGAGTGGATATCATACCATGGCTCTTACTGTCTACTATATTGACGCTATCTGTTCATGTGGTCCTTACTTTGGTTGTGTTCATATTGCTTTGTACAGTGTAGGTTTTGCTTCATTTTGAACAGCGCATGCTTTTATATATTCTCACAAGGCTCTCAATCAGTCTTTGCCCCTGATGCCCCCCTCCCCTCCCCCCCCCCCACCAACAAAAAGGCACTTCTATTTTCCCACTAGCACTGACTTCGCTGATAAATACTTTGTTGAGGGAAAATGTACATGATACGATTAATTGTAAGTCGCTCTGGATAAGAGCGTCTCCTAAATGACTAAAATGTTAAATGTTTGCACATGTAGCTAGATGCATTGTTTTGGCGTACTTGTCCGCTGTTGTCATTGTGACAGTGGAGCTTCTGGGCTCAGCTCGTATATGTATGTGTTCTGGTCTCCATTTTGTTCCAACACGTCTCTGTCCCAGTGATGGTTGTTCTCTAGTCTGTAAGTCTCTAGACCAGAACTTTCTCCCTCTCCATTGTCTCTGTCGACCTGCTCTCTGTCTCTCTCATTCCCCACAAGGCTAGAGCACAGCTCCAACCCCAACCCTTCACCAGACCCTGATCCTGACAAACTACACGCCTCCTTCATATGGCCACCTTTAGTCTCGTCTGTCTCGTCCTCCTCTTCCTCCTCCTCTTCATCTGCTCTCCCTCCTATCCCCCCGTCCAGACTGGCATCACTGAGAAACATTGGGGTGTCCTCCATGGAGAGGGGGGTGCCCCTGGCAACATGGCCCAGATCGGTGGACCCTCCTGGGGTTAGAGGAGGCTCCTCGACCCCCTCCTGTTCCTGGTCCCTGCTACAGTAGGCGTATCGATGGTTCATGTGTTGGGAGTAGGAGCCAGAGTGGGAGAATCGCTTGCCACACTTGTCACACTGGTAGGGCTTCTCTCCAGAGTGCAGCCGACTGTGCTCCATCAGATGGTGCTTGTGCTTGAAGGCCTTCTTGCAGATCTGGCACTCGTGGGGACGTTTACCTGTGGGAATATAACAGAACAGAAACATGCTCAATCCATCGTACTGTAGGTTTCAAAAGACAGAGATTATCCCTTAAAGTCATGATCATACTATCTGGTTGTCTCCCCATCACCTTACTTAGGGCTCTATTCAATCCACATCACGGAAGTTTAGATCACAGCGTGATTGAAATGTAATGGCAATGTTCCCGTGGTCGCAGAGATTGCATTCACGGTAAATGCTGCATACAGTGCCTTGCAAAAGTATTCATCCCCCTTGGCGTTTTTCCTATTTTGTTGCATAACAACCTGTAACTTAAATTGATATTTATTTGGATTTCATGTAATGGATATACACAAAATAGTCCAAATTAGTGAAGTGAAATGAAAAAAATAAAATGTTTCAAAATATTCTAAAAAATAAATAATGGAAAAGTGGTGCGTGCATATCTATTCACGCCCTTTGCTATGAAGCCCCTAAATAAGATCTGGTGCAACAAATTACCTTCAGAAGTCACATAATTAGTTCAATAAAGTCCACCTGTGTGCAATCTAAGTGTCACATGATCTGTCACATGATCTCAGTATATATACACCTGTTCTGAAAGGCCCCAGAGTCTGCAACACCACTAAGCAAGGGGCACCACCAAGCAAGCGGCACCATGAAGACCAAGGAGCTCTCCAAACAGGTCAGGGACAAAGTTGTGGAGAAGTACAGATCAGGGTTGGGTTATAAAAAAATATCTGAAACTTTGAACATCCCACGGAGCACCATTAAATCCATTATTAAAAAATTGAAAGAATATGGCACCACAACAAACCTGCCAAGAGAGGGCCGCCCACCAAAACTCACGGACCAGGCAAGGAGGGCATTAATCAGAGAGGCAACAAAGAGACCAAAGATAACCCTGAAGGAGCTGCAAAGCTCCACAGCGGAGATTGGAGTATCTGTCCATAGGACCACTTTAAGCCGTACACTCCACAGAGCTGAGCTTTATGGAAGAGTGGCCAGAAAAAAGCCATTGCTTAAAGAAAAAATAAGCAAACATGTTTGGTGTTCGCCAAAAGGCATGTGGGAGACTCCCCAAACATATGGAAAAAGGTACTCTGGTCAGATGAATTGAGCTTTTTGGCCATCAAGGAAAACGCTACACCTCTCAACACCCAGAGAACACCATCCCCACCGTGAAGCATGGTGGTGGCAGCATCATGCTGTGGTGATGTTTCCCAGGCACTGGGAAACTGGTCAGAATTGAAGGAATGATGGATGGCGCTAAATACAGGGAACTTCTTGAGGGAAACCTGTTTCAGTCTACCAGAGATTTGAGACTGGGACGGAGGTTCACCTTCCAGCAGGACAATGACCCTAAGCATACTGCTAAAGCAACACTCGAGTGGTTTAAGGGGAAACATTTAAATGTCTTGGAATGGCCTAGTCAAAGCCGAGACCTCAATCCAATTGAGAATCTGTGGTATGACTTAAAGATTGCTGTACACCAGCGGAACCCATCCAACTTGAAGGAGCTGGAGCAGTTTTGCCTTGAAGAATTGGCAAAAATCCTAGTGGCTAGATGTGCCAATCTTATAGAGACATACCCCAAGAGACGTGCAGCTGTAATTGCTGCAAAAGGTAGCTCTACAAAGAATTTTCACTTTTGGGGGGTGAATAGTTATGCACGCTCAAGTTTTCAGTTTTTTTGTCTTATTTCTTGTTGGTTTCACAATAAAAAATATTTGAATCTTCAAAGTGGTAGGCATGTTGTATAAATCAAATGATACAAACTCCCCAAAAATCCATTTTAATTCCAGGTTGTAAGGCAACAAAATAGGACAAATGCCAAGGGGGGTGAATACTTTCGCAAGCCACTGTACGTTGGATCAATCGGAAAATTACATTTACATTTCTATCACAGGAATCTGCTGAAGCATTACTGATTAAACAGAGCTCTTCGTATAATTTATGCTTCATAATTTGTATAAATGTCGCTGTGTACCTGTGTGCTCGTACTTGTGTCGGAGCAGAGAGCTGCTCTTCTGGAAGGTCTTGTTGCAGATGTTGCAGGCGTACAGGCCTTCGTTTGTCTTCTTCAGTCTCTTCCTCCGTAGTCTCCCCTCTCCCTCTCCTCCCTCCTCCATCAGAGAGAGGTAATCCAGACCCCCACAACCCATCAGCTCACCCTGAACACAATACTAATGGTTAGGGGGTTCTGATCTGGTTCTGTTCAGAGGATGTCAGTGTTGTTTTCTCTCTAGCTTCAGTTAATTCTAGTGAAATACATTTGAAAACGTCTTTCTCTGCACTGTGATTGAATTGAAATAAACTTTATACCAATGAAATGTTTTATACCATAACATCTAGGGGAAATATTGTTCTTACCATGAATGCTTGTCTCTCCTGATGGATCCTCTTCAGCACAGCGTCTGTGTCTGACTCCATCATGTAGGGCATAGGGGAGAGGAATCGCTGACTGCTGGCTGGTTGACTGAGGGGCAGGGAGGGGACCTCGTCATGCCCTAAGCCAGCTAGCCCAGCAGGCATCATGGGGTTAAACAGAGGGTATGCACTGTAGATGGAGCCCTCAAACATCGGAGTGCCACTGTAGACTGCTTGATGCTGGTGAGATTAGATTAGTTTAGATTAGATTGACGTTTATTGTCCTAAAAGAGTAAAATCTTACCACAGCTCACACATTGCAAATACATACACCGTATAGAGACACAGTAAATAACAAACAGCACACAGCCAGACATAAATAATACCCCTCCTGTCCCACACCTGTTGACAAGGTGGACTGAGACTCAGCCTCCGGTGGTGCTGCTGGTTCTCTGCTGGCTCTCTGTAGGTCTTCTCTCTCTTTTCTCCCGGACGAGGGTGTCCGTTACTGGGCATGCTGTCCTCCAGGGCTTTCCCCTCCTGGGGCTTGGGGAGGGAGAGATCCAGGGGTTGGTCGTTCTGGGCGCTCCCCGACCCAGGGGTCCTTCCTTTGGGGGCGGTTCGACTCCAAGGGGGGGTGAGAGTGGTGGAGGAAAGGTCCAGGCAGAGGGGCGAGTCGAACCCTGAAGAGGGGAATTGTCTTTGCCCTAGTGGTAGCGGTGAGGACATGTCTGTAGCAGGGTTAGTTGGTGCTGGTTGGCTGGGGCTGCCGCCACTCCCGCCACTCTCCTGGCTAGACCAATAGGATCTCATGGATAGTGAATCTGGGAGGGGCTGTAGGGGGGAGTGCATGGTGACCAGCATCTCCAGAGGGACAGAGTGCCAGCTGGGTCTCTGGAGAGGAGACTTGTCTTTGGAGAAACCATTAGCCATCGCTGGGGGTTTGTGGTTGTTGTCTGGTGGGGGTGGCTGGAGAGGGGGTCTGGAAGAGAAGTAGAGGGGAGAGAGGTGGTCTTTGCTGCGAGGACCTTCAGGCACCTCCATTGCCTGCCGGTTCATCTTACAGAGGTAGCGCTCATGCTGGAGTAATACGGTGGGGCTGGGGAAGAGCTGGGAGCACCAGTGACATGTCACCCCACCTCCACCCCCATACCCCTCACCCGAGCCGGCCCGGTTGCGTTTCAGCGGTTTTGGATAATCTGGCGATGATGCCTTCCTGTCTCGCCCACCGTTGTGAATCACCAGTCTCCCCTCCTCCCTGGCCGAGCCTACACCTCCCTCCTCCCTGTGAAGCATCTCCTGCAGCATCTGCTCAAACTTGCCCCCGGAGCTGGCATGTAGGTACGGTAGCAGGGTGGTGCCCTTGAACACGCTGTTCCGGAGGGAGAGCGCCGCCGTGGGATCCCACAGCCTGCCCAGCTCCCTGCCCAGCTCCTGGCCCCGGAGGACCCCCCTGGCCTGGTCCCCAGGTGGGTACAGCCCCCTCTCTAAGTCCCCTGGTGGCTGACGCTGCTGGGTGTGAAGAGGGTAGGGAGAGCCCTTTCCACTGCTGTTCCTACCGCTGCCTGCTGAGGGTGATGCAGTGGAGGACTGGTAGGTCCCGTGGCTATGTCTGCTGTTATAGCTCTCCCCTCCACCTCCTCCTCCTCCCCCTGTCAAGCACTTCTTACTACTGAGGTGTGAGCTGTAGGATCCGGAGTGAGAGAAGCACTTCTTGCAGTTGGAACATTCATACGGTTTCTCACCTAAAGAAGGAAGAACCGACACGGAACTTCAGTTGAAGGTGCTTTGCGTCGTGCCTAAGAACAGTCCTTAGTCGTGTGTTATTTACCATAATCCACGGGTTCTCATGTCTTATTGCTTTAACATAAAATCGATAAGATTTGATTTTGAATGTTTCATGTAAGAAAACGTGCATTACCACTGTGGATGCGGAGGTGCTCTTTGAGGTGATGTTTGTACTTGAAGGATTTCCCACACTGAAGACACTTGAACTTTCTGCTCTCTATGCCATGGTCAGACCCAGGGTGCTGCACCAATCACAAACACACATTCAGTCTAGTTCTAGTCAACAGGAGATTGACAGTCAACTCGGAGATTGCATATCATGCCTGTTCTACAGTCAAACTACAGTGCATTCGGAAAGTATTCAGACCCTTTGACCTTTTCCACATTTTGTTATGTTACAGCCTTATTCTAAAATGGATTAAATAAAAAAAATCCTCATCAATATACACACAATACCCCATGATGACAAAGAAAAAATACATGTTTTTTTTGTGTGTGCGCAAATGTATTTAAAATAAAAAACAGAAATACCTTATTTACATAAGTATTCAGACCCTTTGCTATGAGACTCGAAATTGAGCTCAGGTGCATCCTGTTTCCATTGGCCAGATGGAAGCAACTCCTCAGTAAAAGGCAATGACAGCCCGCTTGGAGTTTGCCAAAAGGCACCTAAAGGACAGACCATGAGAAACAAGATTCTGTGGTCTGATGAAACCAAGATTGAACTCTTTGGCCTGAATGCCAAGAGTCACGTCTGGAGGAAACCTGGCACCATCCCTACGGTGAAGCATGGTGGTGCCAGCATCATGCTGTGGGGATGTCTTTCAGCAGCAGGGACTAGGAGACTAGTCAGGATTGAGGGAAAGATGAACGGAGCAAAGTACAGAGAGATCCTTGATGAAAACCTACAGAGCGCTCATGACCTCAGACTGAGACGAAGGTTCACCTTCCAACAGGACAACGACCCTAAGCACACAGCCAAGACAACGCAGGTGTGGCTTCAGGACAAGTCTCTGAATGTCCTTGAGTGGCCCAGCCAGAGCCCGGACTTGAACCCGATTGAACATCTCTGGAGAGACCTGAAAATAGCTGTGCAGCGACGCTCCCCATCCAACCTGACAGAGCTTGACAGGATCTGCAGCGAAGAATGGGAGAAACTTCCCAAATACAGGTGTGCCAAGCTTGTAGCGTCATACCCAAGAAGACTCGAGGCTGTAATCGCTGCCAAAGATGCTTCAACAAAGTACTGAGTAAAGGGTCTGAATACTTATGGAAATGTGATATTTAAGTTATTTATTTGTAATACATTTGTTAAAATGTCTAAAAACCAGTTTTTGCTTTGTCATTATGGGGTATTGTGTGTAGATTGATGAGGGGAAAAAAAACAATTTAATCCATTTTAGAATAAGGCCGTAACAAAATGTGGAAAAAGTCAAGGGGTCCGAATAAATTTCCGAATGCACTGTATATGAACTAACATAACACTTTTTTTGGAGTCATTAGATTGCTGGTCATATCAGTCTCGAAAGACCTTAAAACGAGTGGCCCCTTTGTAGTAGGTGGACTCAAAAAGGAATGGGATTTTTATATTTCTTCCAGTGTCTCACCTTGCCCTGTCCCTGACTGTGCATGTGTCGTTCCATCAGAGCCCTATAGTGCCCGCCTTCCCACTCGTGGCAAAACCTGATGTGCTGGCGTAGGGACCCTCCTCGGTGGAAGGTACGCTGGCAGAACGGACAAGCCTCTAGGTTCCTCAGAGCATCTGGACTCAAAGGGACACCATCTAGGACACACAGAGCCAGACAGAGAGGTCAAAGGGACACCATCCAGGACACACAGAGCCAGACAGAGAGGTCAAAGGGACACCATCTAGGACACACAGAGCCAGACAGAGAGGTCAAAGGGACACCATCTAGGACACACAGAGCCAGACAGAGAGGTCAAAGGGACACCATCTAGGACACACAGAGCCAGACAGAGAGGTCAAAGGGACACCATCTAGGACACACAGAGCCAGACAGAGAGGTCAAAGGGACACCATCTAGGACACACAGAGCCAGACAGAGAGGTCAAAGGGACACCATCTAGGACACACAGAGCCAGACAGAGAGGTCAAAGGGACACCATCTAGGACACACAGAGCCAGACAGAGAGGTCAAAGGGACAACCATCTACGACACACATAGCCAGACAGAGAGGTCAAAGGGACACCATCTAGGACACACATAGCCAGACAGAGAGGTCAAAGGGACACCATCTAGGACACACAGAGCCAGACAGAGAGGTCAAAGGGACACCATCTAGGACACACAGAGCCAGACAGAGAGGTCAAAGGGACACCATCTAGGACACAGAGCCAGACAGAGAGGACCACTTAACAAGTTTGTTAACTATAAATTCAAGATCACACAATGTCCAGGACTCAAACTATAGTCGACAGCCATCAAGGAATACATGTATCTGGCCGTTAATGACATAAGGCTGATAGCAGCTCTACGGATGTTGTAAATGTAACTGTTATACTCAATGTTATACTCACTGTTATACTGGGCGGCAGGTAGCTTAGTGGTTAAGAGCGTTGTGCCAGTAACCGAAAGGTCGCTGGTTCTAATCCCCGAGCCGACTAGGTGAAAATCTGTCGATGTGCCCTTGAGCAAGGCACTTAACCCTAATTGCTCCTGTAAGTCGCTCTGGATAAGAGCGTCTGCTAAATGACTAAAATGTAAATGTAAATGTACTCAAATTAGCCTTGTGGGCTCTATCAACGGAGATTTGGGGAAATGCGAGTGTGTTTATAATGATGCATAGCCATAGCCTACCTGCTCTCAGGTTTAGCGCTGACCCCAGGAGACCGAGGGAGGGAGGTCTAAATCCCCGGGGCCCCAAGGAGTTGGGGGGGGGGGGGGGGGGGGGGGGGGGGGGGCATCTGGACGGGCCCCCAGGGGGTAAGGGCCCCGGCCGCCGGGGGGGTTTTTGGGGACATTGGGGGGAGGAGCCCCGGGGTCAAGGAACTTGTCCAGTCCCCCCAAGGGGAAAAACCCACCTGGGGGGGAACGAAAACAGAGGGGGGAAAGGTGGGTAACATATAAACCCCCTTCAAACAACTTTATTTACCCCCTTTAAACCGAAAAAGGACACGGGGGGCGTTTTTAAAGCTCTCTTTTTGAAGAAAAATTAAAAAACCCTTTTGGGCTAAGGGGTTTGGGGGTTGAGGGGCCCCCGGACAAAATAGAAGTAAACTTTTTTTAAAAAGAACTTTGGCAATAGAGGGAAGTCCCCCTCCCTTTTTTTTTTTTTTTAAAAAAAAAAAAAAAAGGGGGGGGGGGGGGGCCCCCCAAATTTTTTTTTTTTTTTTTTGGGGGGCCCCCCCCTTTTGGGGGCCCAGGGCTTCGGGGGCCCCCGGGGCCCCCCCCTCGGGGTTCTCCCCCCGGGGGGTTTCCCCGGGTCCCCCCCCCCGGGGTCCCCGGGCCGGCGTCCCCCTCGCCGCCCCCGCCCCCCTCCTCTGCTTTTCTCCCTCTAACCCTCTCTCCCCCTTTCTCCCCCTTTCCCCCTCTCCCCCGTCCCCCCCCCCTTTTTTGGGGCCCCGGGGCCCCCCCCCTTTTAAACCCCTTTTTTTGCTCTAAAAAGGGTGTTTTTTCAGAAAACGTAGTCCCCATTTTTTAGCATGGAATTTTAAATCTTGTGGGGGGTTACCTTTTTTTCCCCTCCTCCCATCTTTTCAAAGACCCCAAGGGATGAAAAAGCCCACGGCGGGGTTTCAAAAATGCCAGGGTTTCAAAACTGTGATAAGCCCAAAAAAGCATCTCATACTGATTCCGGTCTTTAAATTATTTTTGTTATGTAAAATCCTACTCTTGACTCTTTAGGTACAAATAAAACACTTTATTTTCACATGTTTCGTAAACAACAGGGGCGCTAACTGAAAAGTTACTAACAGGCCCCTTCCCCAAAAATGAGGAGAAAAAATGGAAATAGTAGAAAATTGAAAAAAAATCACAAGGTAAAAAAATAACAATAAAAACGTTATTCCAAAAAAGGTGTGAACTAGGGCCCATATGCTGAAAAATTACTTAGGTCTGAAGATTCCTGCTCCCCTTCCTGTTATCCCCTCTCAGGGCCCCCCTCCTCTTCCCTTCTACCCCCCTGGTCCCCCTTGGGCTGGGGCTTTGGGGGGCCCGGGGTTTAAATGGCCCCCCGGGGGGTTTTGGGGGCCTCCTGGCTGGGCCCTTCCCTCCCCCTCACCTCCTGGGGGTCAGACTGGGCGGTCCAGACTGCCCCGGATCCCGGGGCTCCCTCCACAGATCCACCCCAACCCATCCCCCCCCGGCCCAGAAATGACCCTTTTGTGTCCACTTTTGGGGAGACGAGAGAAAGAAAGAAGAGAGTTAGAGCAGATAGAGAGAGAGGGGAAGACGAGCTAAGCTTGATAGAGAAGAAGAGAATTTTGGAAACGCCCCAGCGAGTCACTTGGAGGAAGTAACTATAAAGGGGAAATCTACCTATTTGGTAACGGGAGCGAGTCTCGGCTTCTTCTCATCCCTCTCTCTCTCTTCGCTCTCTTCTTTCTCTCTCTCTTTTTCCCTCCTGCTCCTCTCTCTCTCTCTCTCTTCTCTCTCCTCTCTCTCTTTCTCTCTTCTCTCTCTCGCTCTCTACTCTCTCTCTCCTCTCTCTCTCTCTCTCTCTCGCTCTCTGCTCTCTATCTCCTCTCTTCTCTCTCTTCTCTCTCTCTACTCGCTCTCTCTCTCTCTCTCCTCTCTCTCCTCTCTCTGATAGGACATTTTATTTCCTCTTTTTATAATACCAAATGAAATACAAGTAACATAAACATCAACCAATGCCACAAGAACCCCTTACATTAAAAACGTTGCAACCAATTACCCTCAAGAGTTATATTATTAGTTCAAGTGGTGACTATTTTCACACGGTTCAAAGAACTCTCCTCATATTTCTGACAGTGTGTTACATCATTTGTGTGGTTTTTACATATCTAACAAAGTGAAAGAATATTTAACAAATTCCAAACTGACAGCAATAGCTGGAGTGTATAAAATTCAACAGCAAACTGTGAGACTGGTATTTTATCCACTCAAATCAGAGACGGACTATAAAAAGACAGTTCTTTCCATCACAGAGACAATAGATGATGATCACAAGCACAAATCACACATCTGCGAGGGACTGTAAAAGCCCCTTTTTCCCATCACATAGACAACAAATGAGGACGCAGGGGATTTCAAATGTATTTCCCAAGATCCTCTGATGGCTCTCTTTCCCCCCCCCCCCTTCGCTCTGATTGGCAATATCTAATCTGATTGGCAATATCTAATCATTACCACATAGAACCATACATTCTCTTAGATGTGTTTATCACTACATAGAACCATTCTCTTTGATGGGTCTATACAATATACATTATTGCACAGAACCCTTCACTGATGTGTGTGGCTTTGACTATAGTTTCCCAAAATATATGTGCAGCATTGACACAGGAATATGTTAACCTACTACAGTATTGGTCTTCTTGAGTTTCTTTTGTAATAACACTGTTCATGAAACACATCAAATGAAGGCAAAACACCAACAAATAAACATACTGTCAACATAAACACAAAAGTTGATGCCCTATAAAAATGAAAACTCAGAGAGGGTTTTGTAGAGTACAGTATGTGTATAGACTGAATGAGATATTATTTATTTATTTTAACGTTTCCGAATGCTTCCCTGTACTCAGTTCATATGCGTAAACCTTACCTAACAACAAATTCAACTGTTACATGTGAATTATTTTCGTCTTCTCTATGACTGTTACCGGATGTTGATAATAAAGTGGTTTACTGGTATGTTTAACTCTTTAAATCTATAGTTATGACTGGACTCCTATTTTCTTCTCTTCTATTTAAATATAAATATCTAGGTATGACTTGTAAAGAAAAGTACAATTGAAAGGACCCCTGAGGTTTTTCAGTATTATATGATTGTGTTCATAATTAATAATAATTATATAGTTATATATAGTTCATAATAATAGTGAGCAGATCAGTTCATGTTTGAGGAGCCCACTGCCATTTTAGAAGAAAAAAAGTTTTGGTCGAAAGAGTCATCTTTATGGCCCGGCACACTTGCATCGTTCTCACTGACTGGATATACCGAAGAGCTGAGGTGACTAAATTGAGGCGTGACCTTTACCGTTATGACTGTGATGCTTTTGACTGTCGTGGAGAGGTGGGCCAATGGGCTTGGAGGGGCAGCCCACAGGATGCATTTTAATCATCATCACCTCAGCTCTGCTCTGCTCTCTCGCATGCTCCAGCTGACCTGCACGGTTCACAATGCACCCCGCTAACTTCACGAGTCATCAACACTCTACTAAACAACGTTACTCTTCACTGCCCTATTACCAGATATGAGAGACACAGAGGGAGCGATTTTTCAGCTCTGCTATGAGCAGAGTTAAGAGACAAGTGCTATAAAGCCTTTGAAGAGCCTAAATGAGGTTGTGACTGGCAGAGTTGATAGGCCTCTCTGTCTGTCTAATCACTGAAGCTGATGTCAGTACTGTCATGGTATGACTGATACAACACAGATATTAATATGGTGAGTGTTCTTGTTGTCAGACAGTCATCAAAACAGTCCCCTGAGGGCTGACTTATCAGCCTCACAAATGACCCAGCAGAAGAATGAAAAAGGTTTTAAAACAAAATGGCACCCCAATCCCAAAGGGGAAAAATTCAAGGGCCCCGGGGGGGGGGGTTTTCCCCAAAAAAAAAAAAAAAAATCTCCCTTTTCCTCCCCTTTCCGGTTTGCCCCCCCTCTCCCCTATTTTTTCCCTTTCCCCTCCCCTTCCTTCCCCTTTCCCCCCCCCTTTCCCTTCCCTTCTCCTTTTCCCTCCCCCCCCCCCCCCCCCCCTTTTTTTCCCCCCCCCCCCCAAAAAGGGGGGGGTTCCCCCTCCTCCTCTCCTCTCCTCTCCTCTCCTCTCCTCACCTCGCCAGCCCCCTGCACCGTTCAACCTCTTGGATTTATATGTTCTGACTCAATATAAAAGAGTGAAGAATGCACTCGCTATTCAAATAAATAAATCAAGTGTTCAGATAATGAAAGCCATCCCCGGGCCGGGCCGTGCGATGCTGCTTTAATGACAGCACATGCGGCACACTGTCACTCACTGTCATGGGAGAGAAAATTAGATTGAATTTGGGAGGTAATGCGGACCAGACCAGGGCTCTCTCTCTCTCTGCTTGGTTGGGGTCTGACTGTATGCCAGCATCCAAAATTGCACTCTATTCCCTATATAGTGCACTACTTTTGACCAGAGCACCATGGGCCCTGGTAAAAAGTAGTGCACTAAATAAGGAAAAGGGTGCCATTTGGGACACACACGTTTTTTTTTTTTTTTTACATAGAAACCCCTGCAGGGATAAGAGTCTAACCTCAACAACATGCTGTAACATGGATCATATCCGTACCTCCCTCCCTCCCTCCCTCCCTCCCTCCCCTCCTGTCTTTTCAGCGAACAGATTTGATCTCAGTTTCATCCCCTGTAAAAGCAATGTAATGAAGTCTCTCTCTCTTCATAGCTCTGCGTGATCTCAGTGAAGGAAGATACTGGACGAGCTAACAAGCCAAACTCTGGAGCCATATACAAACTCGGAAGCCATATACAATCTCTGGAGCCATATACAAACTCTGGAGCCATATATAAACTCTGGAGCCATATATAAACTCTGGAGCCATATACAAAACTCTAGAGCCATATACAAAACTCTGGAGTCATATACAAACTCTGCAGCCATATACAAACTCTGAAGCCATATACAAACTCTGAAGCCATATACAAACTCTGGAGTCATACACTGTACTGTATCCTCTTCTTAAACCACGTGGTGTGGCAACCCATGCCAGGCTATGGTACCAGGGTTCTGTTCTGGACTTGATCAATCAATTTGGGAAGTGTTGTTTCGTAACAAAGTTGACTATAAAATAGATACGAGTTACTTGTATTTTTCAAATAGTGTTATCTACTGCTAGCCCTGTCTCTGTCACTCCGTCATTATAGGGCTGTGTTAAGGCAGTATAATCAAAACAATTTGGAAATGCAACTAAACACTTGCTTTTAGGACTCCATATCACATCTAATATATATATATATATATATATATATATATATATATATATATATATATATATATATATAATGTAATAACCCAACAATGTAGAAGATTGACAAATATATTTTAAAAACGATATCATTAAAAGGACCTTATAAAAAGTGAGCGGAAATGGTCTGCTCAAATATTACAATGAAATATATTGTATTATGAAATTGAAAGAATATTTGTTTAAATTTGTTCCTCATTTTGATTTGATTGTAAACATATCACGCCGTGACAATGTTTAGGAGATCTGTACGGACTTCATGACTTCTTAAGGAAGTAAAAAATAAACGTCTACGAAAGGAAGAAGAAACCGTATTACAGTAAATCAATTCATCCATTACAGTTAAAAAGACAGATGAAAGAAAGAGGACCATGTTTGTTCATTTTAAATGGCGGCGGGGAAAAGGAGTGACTCACTATATGGAGATCAAGGGAAATCTTGCAATATGCACATGCAATAATAGAATGGGCCATTTTAAAGTTACCCCAATAAAATAAAAAAGGGTGACACTTCCACGACGATTTGGATAAAATGGAAAATATACACAAACACACTCCAAATGTCTGCATTCTTTTACTCAGCACACCCAGACAAGATGCCTTTGCACTCTCATACGGGCAACTATTCTTCTGATATAACATCAATAAAATAAATATGTTTCTCAACTCTCTGAAGAACTAGAAATGAAATTGACAATTGGCCAGCGGTGACATGCAAGTCGTAAGACGAGGCCACATTGACAGTAATGGAAACTGTAAAGGTGGGTGAGCAAAACACTTGCTCTACAGTACAGCAATGAAATAGTGATGAAAGTAATCTACAGTAATTGACCTTGCTTGTGCAATTACAATAAAAATAATCTCACTGAAATCAATGGGGATGTGTTTTAATAATAATAATATTATAATAATAATAATTAATAATAATGTGTTTTAAGAAATATTCTAGCTCCTCATACATTAATAATAATAATAATAATAATAATAATAATTGTGATAACTATATAATTGTTTTGTCTCATATGTTAAAAAACTAACAACCAAAAGGTCAAATGCTACATTTCACGAGCCACGGAGTTAGGCAGACACACACAGACAAACCAGAGCAAGCAGGAAATATAGTTACAGTAACATACCTATGATCACAGCAGCAAAGACGGAAAT